TGGGTGGGTGGATGGATAAATAAATGATGGATAGATGGATGCATGGATGGATGGATGGATGCATGGATGCACGGATGGATGCGTGGATGGAGGTATGTATGTATGTATGGATGGATGGACAGACAGGGTATAATGGGCCCTGGGAAACTTACTGGCTGGGCTTCAGCTTCTAACAGGCTGATGGTTCTCTGGCAACACATTTCCACACAAATGCTTAGATTCCCCACAGGCAAAAAAAGGAACCATAAAATTATCCTGACAACTTCATATTGTCATATCTGCAAGATGCATAGCACAGAGGGATTTGGCACATTGAGAGGATGCTCATCCTAGTTCTGTTCATGTTCTCCAGGGTGGGCTGCACCCTAGCGGGGGCTATTATGTCCTTGTCCCTGCCCCTTCTCAGCCTAGTATTGGGTGGGCTCAGAGCTGGCCCTGCTGGGCTGTGGAGGGATGGAGTGGGGGGTAGGACAGGGACAGGACAGCGTGTTCCTGTCCCTGACACCTTGTGTCACTGGGATGTGACTCCGATACCTGAGTTCTGCTCTCTCACCTGGCCCCAGGTTATACCCCATCATTAGAGGGAACTGCAGCAGCATGCAGAACTGAGGGAGGAGGCTGGACATGGCCAGTCTGATGCTTTCAAATGTCCTCATTCTAAACTGAATGCTCCCTAGTCTGCAGATGTGAATGCACTAAAGAAACAATGCGCAAACATTTGTGGATGGGGCTTCCTGGACTGAAGAGCCTGCAGACACCTAGATAGGCCTGGGATGGTGGTGGATTCTGGTCGGTGCCCTGACGGGCTTCCCTTGCCCATTTATGGTACAGAACATGGGTTCTGTGAATAGGGAAGGGTGGCCTCCTAGCCCCGTCCCTGAAGACTGGGAATCTTTTCATCATTTCCTCTATCTGTGCATTCATGGAAGTTTACGCTTTACTCTCAGGCCACCCTTAAGAGCTCCTTTGATAGCGCCGAAAGACTACATTTCTGTAGATCTTCGTTCTTTTTGCATTTTCTATTTGCCACAGTGCTTCCAGATAGGTAAAGACATGCCTTGGATCCTGAAATCTGCAGTGGCCTGCTTTGAAATTCCATCACCTGCTCACACTGGGGAGGAAGTTGAGAACTCCGCCTCACCCTGGGACTTCTGAGGTCATGGTGACCTCCCAGGCAAGGGGCCATCACCAAGAAGAGGAGATGGACCAAGGAATCAGGGCATGGAGTTAAGAGCCCAAGACTTCTCCAAATCATAGCCAAGGGAATTGCCAGTAGAAGCCAGGGCACCGGCGGGGGTACTCCCAGGCAGAGTTAAGGTCCTGGAGAAGTTGTTTTTTCAGGTTCTTTGGATCAGCAAGGTGTGGTCTGGTAGAGGTGAAGGAGAGGCCCACAGTACTGGCTGTAGTGTCCTCCTGGTACCAGGTGAACTCAGCCTCTGCAAAGGCACAGAGTTGTGAGTTTCCCCAGACTTCATTCTCCAGCTTGAGAGAGACAGCCCTAGTGATCACATTTCTTCAGTAAAAAGAGAATAAGATTCTCGGGTCTGTGATCTCACCATACATCAAGGCCCATGTGCTTTATGGTTCCTGGACTGAACTCCCCACACTCACTTACCCAACACCTGCCCAGGCCCACGTTCTCCCTTCACAGAGATGCTCTCCTTGATCATGCTCATCTCAGGTGCTTCTGAGCTCTTTTCCAACTAGCCCTGACTTCTGGGCCTCTGTGTTTGTCTCTTCCTTGTCCAACGGCAGCAAGAATCCTGCTAAGTCAGTTTAACCCAGTTGTCTGCTCACCGTTGATACGTGACCAGGTTCCTCATCCTCCACGTGATGTACGGTCACCCTTGCCCACCTTCAGCAAGAATCCTGGTTTAGCCAGAATCCCCACAGCTATGAGGTTTCCTGATTGTAATGTTTCATCCACTGACCTCTCCCTCCCTGCTCCTTGGCATAAATTCTCCCTTGTTCATGGTGTATTTGAGGTTGAACCCATGTTATTTCCCACACTGCAAAATCCCATCCCCGTGGTCCCTCCATCCACAGTGGTGGTTGTGAATAAAGTCCCCCTTACTGTGATTTAACAAAGGCCATTGGATAATCTTTTCTTCAATACCCTGCCCAGCTGACGCAAGGCTCTGAGAAAGGGAAGTCCAGACCTTTGGCATCTGCAGTGGACAGAACTCAGGAAGTGGCCCTGGAGGTCTGGGTGCTGTGGATGCCACCCACAGCATCCCTCACATGCTCAGGGTATCTCAGCTTTGCGGTCAGAATCACTGTCCCTGGGAAAAACTTCTCTTTCTGTGTGAAAACGACCACCCTCAATTCCCAAAAAAACAGGAAGAAAAGGTAGCAATGAAATACCTGTGAAAACTCACCATATGCAGGAACACTAAAGCACGGTGAATAAGGTAGTGCCAGGGACTGTCTAAAAATAGGCACAGTGAATACCTAGTGCCAAGGACTGTCTAAAAATAGGCACAGTGAACACGGTAGTGTCAGGGACTGCTTAAAAACAGGCACAGTGAATACAGTAGTGCCAGGGACTGTCTAAAAACAGGCACGGTGAATACATAGTGCCAGGGACTGCCTAAAAATAGTGAAACATTTTAAACTGTCTCTCTACGTGGGAAAGTCTGGCAGGGAGAGAGCAAGGGCACACTATCACACAAACGGAAGGTCTTCAAGGAAGGCGTGTGCTGAGGATGTGCGACAACCTATGTATGAGTGGTTGTTGCAGGAGAGTAACGGGGCAGGCTACCTTCATAGGATATTTAAGTGAACATGCAGCTTACAAAAGGGCTTGTAAATTATTTTTCATGTTAGAAAAAAAAAAGCCAAAATACACATGCATCGAAAATAGAAAAGATAACAACAGTCAGCATTTGTCTGGCATTTTCCATTGAACAAACTCTGTTTTATTTAATTGAAGCATCATTAAAAACCCAATGAGATGTACTCCACCCCTTAAGAAATTAACAAGTGAAAAGTTAAATAGTACTGCGTGCAAGTGAAAGTATATAATAAAGCTTGTGTTAGTGAGTATATGAGTATGTGAGTGTGTGCATGTGTGTGGGTATAGGTATGTGTATGTGTGTGTGAGTGTATGTCTGTGTGAGCGTTGTGTGTGTGGGCATATATGTGCGTGTGCACATGTGCATGTGTGTGGGTATATGTGTGTGCGCATGTGTGCATGTGTGTGGGTATATATGTGTGTGCATGTGTGTGGGTGTATGTGTGTGTGAGTGCATGTGGGTCTATGTGCATGTGCGTGTATACATATGCATGTGCATGTGTGCATGTGTGTGAGTATATATGTGTGTGCACGTGTGCATGTGTGTTGGTATGTGTGTGTGTGATAACGTGCATGTGTGTGGATATATATGTGCATGTGCACGTGTGCATGTGTGTGAGTATGTGTGTGGGTATATATGCTGTGCATGTGTGGGGGTGTGTGTGCATGTGTGTGGGTGTATGTGTGGGTATATGTGCATGTGCGCGTGTGCATGTGTGTGTGGATATATATGTGCGTGTGCACATGTGTGTGGGTATGTTTGTATGTGAGTATATATGTGTGAGCATGTGTGTGTGGGTGTGTGTGTGCATGTGTGCGTGGGCATATATGTGAGTGTGTGCATGTGTGTGGGGTGT